TTGTTGCCTTGGAGGGGCATGTATATAGCTGTAAGAGTTGTTGCCACGGGAAGGCTGGAAGCGTTTGGGGGGTTGTAAGAGTTGTTGCCACGGGAGGGTTGGAAGCGTTTGGGGGGTTTGAGGCCGGGCAAACGGCAGTCTTGAACCCCTTGAAAACCGGATGGCAGGGGCATGTATAGATGTAAGAGTTGTTCCCTTGAAGGCCTGCGGAAGCGTTTGGGGGGTTTGGGGGGTTTGAGGCCGGGCAAACGGCAGTCTTGAACCTCCTGAAAAACAGATGGCAGGGGCATGTAGCTGTAGGACAGGCTTGAACCCCCTGAAAAGCAGATGGCAGGGGCATGTAGCTGCAAGAGTTGTTGCCTTGGAGGCCTGCGGAGAGTTTGGAGGGTTTGAGGCCGGGCAAACAGCAGGAGCATGTAGATGGCTGGGGCATGTAGCTGACAGAGGTGTTCAGGGGCATGTAGCTGTAAGAGTTGTTGCCTTGGAGGCCTGCGGAGAGTGTGAAGGTTTGAGGCCGGGCAAACGATGTAGCTGTAAGAGTTGTTGCCTTGCGGAGACAGGCTTGAACCCCCTGAAAAGCAGATGGCAGGGGCATGTAGCTGTAAGAGTTGTTGCCTTGGAGGCCTGCGGAGAGTTTGGAGGGTTTGAGGCCGAGCAAACAGCAGGAGCATGTAGATAGCTGGGGCATGTAGCTGACAGAGGTGTTCAGGGGCATGTAGCTGTAAGAGTTGTTGCCTTGGAGGCCTGCGGAGTGTTTGAGGGTTTGAGGCCGAGCAAACAGCAGGAGCATGTAGATAGCTGGGGCATGTAGCTGACAGAGGTGTTCAGGGGCATGTAGCTGTAAGAGCTGTTGCCTTGGAGGCCTGCGGAGAGTTTGGAGGGTTTGAGGCCGGGCAAACGGCAGGAGCATGTAGATGGCTGGGGCATGTAGCTGACAGAGGTGTTGCCTTGATGGCGTGTGCCTTGCTTGCGACCCGAGAGCCAAGTTCCACACCGGCTGGAAGCGTTTGGGGGGTTGTAAGAGTTGTTGCCACGGGAGGGTTGGAAGCGTTTGGGGGGTTTGAGGCCGGGCAACCGGCAGTCTTGAACCCCTTGAAAACCGGATGGCAGGGGCATGTATAGATGTAAGAGTTGTTCCCTTGGAGGCCTGCGGAAGCGTTTGGGGGGTTTGGGGGGTTTGGGGGGTTTGAGGCCGGGCAAACGGCAGTCTTGAACCTCCTGAAAAACAGATGGCAGGGGCATGTAGCTGTAGGACAGGCTTGAACCTCCTGAAAAGCAGATGGCAGGGGCATGTAGCTGCAAGAGTTGTTGCCTTGGAGGCCTGCGGAGAGTTTGGAGGGTTTGAGGCCGGGCAAACAGCAGGAGCATGTAGATGGCTGGGGCATGTAGCTGACAGAGGTGTTCAGGGGCATGTAGCTGTAAGAGTTGTTGCCTTGGAGGCCTGCGGAGAGTGTGAAGGTTTGAGGCCGGGCAAAGGATGTAGCTGTAAGAGTTGTTGCCTTGCGGAGACAGGCTTGAACCCCCTGAAAAGCAGATGGCAGGGGCATGTAGCTGTAAGAGTTGTTGCCTTGGAGGCCTGCGGAGAGTTTGGAGGGTTTGAGGCCGAGCAAACAGCAGGAGCATGTAGATAGCTGGGGCATGTAGCTGACAGAGGTGTTCAGGGGCATGTAGCTGTAAGAGTTGTTGCCTTGGAGGCCTGCGGAGTGTTTGAGGGTTTGAGGCCGAGCAAACAGCAGGAGCATGTAGATAGCTGGGGCATGTAGCTGACAGAGGTGTTCAGGGGCATGTAGCTGTAAGAGCTGTTGCCTTGGAGGCCTGCGGAGAGTTTGGAGGGTTTGAGGCCGGGCAAACGGCAGGAGCATGTAGATGGCTGGGGCATGTAGCTGACAGAGGTGTTGCCTTGATGGCGTGTGCCTTGCTTGCGACCCGAGAGCCAAGTTCCACACCGGCTGGAAGCGTTTGGGGGGTTGTAAGAGTTGTTGCCACGGGAGGGTTGGAAGCGTTTGGGGGGTTTGAGGCCGGGCAAACGGCAGTCTTGAACCCCTTGAAAACCGGATGGCAGGGGCATGTATAGATGTAAGAGTTGTTCCCTTGAAGGCCTGCGGAAGCGTTTGGGGGGTTTGGGGGGTTTGAGGCCGGGCAAACGGCAGTCTTGAACCTCCTGAAAAACAGATGGCAGGGGCATGTAGCTGTAGGACAGGCTTGAACCCCCTGAAAAGCAGATGGCAGGGGCATGTAGCTGCAAGAGTTGTTGCCTTGGAGGCCTGCGGAGAGTTTGGAGGGTTTGAGGCCGGGCAAACAGCAGGAGCATGTAGATGGCTGGGGCATGTAGCTGACAGAGGTGTTCAGGGGCATGTAGCTGTAAGAGTTGTTGCCTTGGAGGCCTGCGGAGAGTGTGAAGGTTTGAGGCCGGGCAAACGATGTAGCTGTAAGAGTTGTTGCCTTGCGGAGGCAGGCTTGAACCCCGTGAAAAGCAGATGGCAGGGGCATGTACCTGTAAGAGTTGTTGCCTTGGAGGCGTGCGGAGAGTTTGGAGGGTTTGAGGCCGAGCAAAACAGGAGCCAGTAATAGCTGGGGCATGAGCTGAAGAGGTGATGTTCAGGGGCATGTAGCTGTAAGAGTTGTTGCCTTGGAGGCCTGCGGAGTGTTTGAGGGTTTGAGGCCGAGCAAACATTGTTGCCTTGGAGGCCTGCGGAGTGTTTGAGGGTTTGAGGCCGAGCAAACAGCAGGAGCATGTAGATAGCTGGGGCATGTAGCTGACAGAGGTGTTCAGGGGCATGTAGCTGTAAGAGCTGTTGCCTTGGAGGCCTGCGGAGAGTTTGGAGGGTTTGAGGCCGGGCAAACGGCAGGAGCATGTAGATGGCTGGGGCATGTAGCTGACAGAGGTGTTGCCTTGATGGCGTGTGCCTTGCTTGCGACCCGAGAGCCAAGTTCCACACCTCCGGTGGTCCCAGGCGCCGCCCCTGCCTTGGCAAAGGCCGGGGTCGGCGGATACTATAATGGACACTTCACAGCAGATTGTTTTAGATTATTTTTTGTCATCCGAAAAGGGTGAGATATTGAAACGGAATGGAGAAGAACTCAAGAAACTCAAGATTGGAGACAAGACCTACAACTTTGAAAGGGGGAAACCCATTTCAAAGAGGTTGATAACAAAATTCAACAAGATTAGGCAGACAATGGACTACAAAAAGTATGAACAGAAAGAGAAGAGAGGCATTAGATGGGTCAATCTGGACAAGAACAAGCACTCACAGGCATTCAAATGAGATACAAAGCAACCACCACCAACGAACAATCTGCTTTCAAAGGTTATGTCAATTCGTATGCCATCACTAACATCAGGGTTAGAGGCATAAAGGCACTACAGTATCTCAAATACCAAGATTTGAGGTTAAAAGAGTATTTGAGGAAACACAATGGAATGAAGATTATGCTACAGGTCTTCGCCACTTTGAAGAGCAAAAAGACTAATGAAGATTCGATGTAAGACAAGTCATCAAGAGTAGAAGATACATATTTCTTCAAGCGACTAAATCTTATGTAAAGAAAAACTTGGGACATACATATCAAATGCTTGAAGACCTTCACAATATAAAAGCAATAAAGAATTCTTGGATGTTTCCTAGCTTAAACCGTTATTATGAATTTAGAAATATAGATTTCAGATTAAAAGACCTATTCAAGCTTTTCTTGCGCGAATATACTAAAGAATTATTCAAACACTATGAGCATGACATTAATCAAGATGAAACAAAAGAACACCGACAAAAAGTGATAGATACTTAAAGAAAAAATACCTATATATAGTAAGTGAAAAATGCCAATGATTGGAGTTAGTGAAGAGGAACTAAAACGAGATAGAGAAAGATTAATGAATTTCATAAAAGAAAATCCTTATCCTGATTATAACTTTATAGAATATGACCTACTACTTATGCAAAAACAATCTTTAGAGCAATACGTAGAGTATGGAGAGATAAACCACGACCTTATGAAAAAAATTTATGAAAACATAGTTGATAAAGATTTAATCAAAAAACACGGTGAGAGGATACACCATAGAGGAGGAATGACAGCATTACAACAAAACTATTATACACTATTGTCAGTGTTGGGATACTTGATTGACCAACGAGGACTTGATAGAGACACAATCATTTTGGTGTTCTACAACATCAAAACGATTGTTTCTCAATGTTGGGATGGAATAGGTAGTGGTGATGAAAAGTGGAGACACTAAACCTAACGATTAGTTCATAATATCTTAATAAAATATATTATGATGTAATCCACCCTAAAAACCCCTTAAAGACATAACCCCTTAAAATTGTAGAGGTATAATGACTGACAAAAAGCAGTGTTCTAAATGTAAAGTCTTTCAACCGTTAGACTACTACAAAAATGAATGTAAGCAGTGTAATAAATGTTTAGAACACAAACGCAGATACAGGGAACAGCACAAAGAAACTTTAAAACAATATGCTCAACAATACTACGAAAGGAAAAAGGAAGAATTAAGTGATAAAAAGAAAGAAACGCTGGAATGTCCAATTTGTAAATGTGAAGTAAGAAAATATACAGTACAATGAAACGACACGAAGAAAGCATCAAGCATCAAATGAACATTAATGGACACTATCTCATACAGTAAAACCACAACAACCTCAACATACCCTACCCTCATCCAAACCAAACATTAATCAAACAACTCCGACGAAACATTTAGCAAGATTAACGAAAGAAACAGTCAAACATTTAGATTTACAACATTGAACAAAAACATAACAGCCTCCCACCTGACCTCCAACCTGTCTTGTCCCAGTTCCCCTGTTTTACCATTTTTTCTGGGATATAACATGATATAACTACCCCCTACTAGTATTTAACTATGATTATGATATGTTTATATATATATCGCTGGAACCCCAACTGCACCCCCAAGTATCCCATGCGTCCTGCCATGCTTAATTCAGCGTCGTGCGAACCCGAGGGTCTTCATGGCAGCCTGCGAGGGACTGAAGCAGGCCGCGGTCCTAGAAATGGTGGATACGCCCAAAATTTCATGGTGATTTAGTAAGATGGGAAAATGATGGTTCACCCCTGTGGATGAGGCATCCGAGAATCCCCAAGTTTTCAGCATGTGCTGTGATGCTTCGAAAGCCCATCAGACTTCTATGAAGACAAGCGCAAGACTTTGTCGGATCAGTTTCATAATGTTTTGCATTTTTTTAAAATACACTGACGCATGCTTTGTGCAGGCTTCCCAAAAGCTCTTGACAAAGGTTTGGCGTGAGGCCCGCGTGAAGGATGGCAAGATTGGGCCACAAGAGCAGTGGAAGCAATTCCAAGACTCTTCTGGAAGAATATCAAACAACTGTACTCAGTACTCTGTACTCTGCCTTTCAGGTGCAAGTCCAATTCACATCCAAGGAGAACAAGCATTGCACTCAGACTCACAACCTTAGGGTTTGGCGGATGTTAAACGATCAGAAACCCAAGATGCATTGCACCTGACGCATGGACCAGGTACCGGAACATGAAGAGCAGACCAGCGTGGTCCGTTCTGGAAGCCCATCAATTTGAGGCCAACACGCATGGTCTTACTGCAAATGTATGAAGATATATGAAGAGGTTTGATGGGAGGACTTTGAAAAACATCAATACAACAGGTGGTTCGGATGTTTCACACTCCGGTCTTTTTGGGGGAACATTGCGTTGCAGGTCTTTGGCAAAGATCGTGGTTTTGGGATCTGTGATCCGGCTGTTGTGGCTCCTTCATCTGTGCTTGGCCTCGGACATACCCTGACAAGACCGCAAACATAGAAAGAGGAGGCTAAAATGGCTAGAAGTTTGCCATATAAAGATGTTAAAGCACTTCGCATTTGGTGTAGATGCAGTTTCAGAATGTTTAAGACACAAGAGTTTAGGCGGCAGCAAGTTCAGTGCTCTGGAGGAATCGAATCGTGTCCTTCCACAGCTTTAGCTCTTTGTGTGTTTAGAATCCGAGAGCACACGGCAAAACTGGTCGCAGTTCGCAGATTGCGGTCACATCAAAAAGATTAAAAAATAGCATGTTTAGATGATTTTTTGGAAATAACATGAAATAACTGAGACACTGTTCATTGTTCACACATCATGAACTTCACCATAGATCTATCCATTGACTTCCACATTGATATGTCCCTGAGGCTGGCACGAAGCCAGCATCGAATCTTCAAGACTACCTCGAAGAGGTCTTGGCTTTGAGGCGCCCGGATGTCAGGATATAGGAAGCAGTTGCCATCCTTTTCTCAAGGGGATTACGCGAGTAATTGTGCTTAAGAAATGTTCAGAAATGTTCATCACTGTTAATCTGGTAATCGTTAATTGCGGCAATAGCAGATAAACACAATGAATATTAAAGTCTATGATCGATACATCGATACTGCTTGCTCTGCTCGCAACAGCTAGCTGGTTGCTGAGACTGACGTTGAACTGACCTCTGATATCGTTTGCGATGCTGAGTGAAGCGGCGGTCTGCTGCAGGTTCGCAGTTGACTGGATGGCTATGTCTATGGAGGATCTGTGTCGACAGATGGGCTGGTGTCAGAGAGACCTGTAGCATTGAAAATATTTCATGGTTACAAGGCAAGAATCCCATCCTATCCCCTCCCCAATGTTATATAAATATCCCCCAAAACCATGGGTTGATAGGGATGAAATCATGATATTCGGGACCCTATACTGAAGGGGGTGTTAAATATTGGGGGGATGGGATGTGCCAGGCCTTGCTCAAGTGACTATCAAAATCCAAAGTCCACAGCTCGACATGTCGACCACAGACCTTTTGTCGCCAGGATGCACAAGAGTTCCTTGATCAAGCCACCAAGTTGCCTTCCCAGGGGTTGGCGCCAGGTTATTTCAGATTACTTGTTTTCTAAGTCCATCTGCTCCATCGAAAGATTGAAATCTGCTCGAAGTCTCCAAATTTTGGGGTCCCTTTTTATTAAGGCGTGCGTACAAACGTCCAGTGCTGAAGCCAAAAGCAGCTCCGGACCCCGTCTCTCAGACCTTAGCAGCCTTGAAGGACGGACCTGCGGCTGAAAACTGACCCTGCTGAAGGTATTTAGAAGGTACAGTAAGGAGCATGGAAACCAATGGAAGCCAATGGTATAGCAATGGTATAGCCTGGTATAGCGATGATATTCTACCCAGCAAAAACTTACAATATGATTCACATTGATTCACTATCCTGGCCAAGAGCACTCCGAGGAGAAGACTGTGGACTCGTTCTCCTTGATGTCTGGATCCTGCGTGGCTGTTGTGTTATGAGACATTCGTTGTTCTGACCCTTTTTGTGAAGTCCTTTGGTGAAGGCTTTCAAGATTTGTCAGGTATAGGCTTTCCAATCTGTTCATTCCCCGAAATGGGATGTCTACTGGGCTCCCAACTCACTCTAATCTGTTTGGGGGCGTCTCGACCACCACTTGGACGTCCCCAGTATGACTCAACCGTCGATATTGAGGTGGACCGATGACGCGGAGCTTCGCGGTGTGGCTTCCCTGGCCATCCGTTTGATGGATGGATTGGAAGGCCCGAGGAGATGTCGAAACATGTCGAAACATGCCGAAACCAGAATGAGAAACCAATCATATCCAATCATCATGAATGGTCATGATGTCATGATCGAAAATCGACACAAGTCCAAGTTGAACAGCGATGATCCTGGTTCGGACCACCAGAGAAGAAGAACAACATAGAACAACCTTGATTTTTGGTCAAGGGATGTCAAGGGTATTAAGAATATTCAGGCATGATATTCCTCATGGTGTTGGGATACGTCATGGCTGCGATCCCAAACAGCAATGATACCACTGGGAAGCTGAGCTCCCCATCAGGCCCCAGTGCGTTGCCATTTGCAGCCACCTTTGTTGGACAAATGCTGTGGGGCTGGCGTGGACTTACAGCTGCTGACATGCAAGCAACATTGGCAGTGATGATTGGCATAATTTGCCAATTCTTTCATGTTGCAACTGGAAATTGCTGGAAATTGCTGGAAATTGCATCATGGCATGAAGGAAATTGCTTCATGATTGTCACTGAAGTGGCAGACCAAGTACTTCAATTGTCAATGCGCGGTCATAGTATGCTCCGCGAATTCACTGCCATTGCTTTTGCGAGAGTCTCAACAGTTGTGTGCTGAGTTGGGTGCAACCAATTGTTTCATATTGATCATATTGTTTCCTTTGGCTATTTTAGATCCAAATCATCAACTGGACTCATCAAATATCATCAAATATCCATCAGATCTAGAATCTAGACTCAATCTATCATTGGTGATTCAAATCATATCACTGTCACCCAGCAGATCGCCAGGCTGGCCATGTGGAAGGGCGTGGCACCACTCTTGGCACATCATGCCGCAACAGGCAAGACTGTCCTGCCGTTTCTATGACATGATTCATGGTTTCTTACTCTATATGGACCAATACCATAGAAATTTGATGGAAAGAAACTTCATGTTTTTTGTGACAGATATCTCCAGATGGTGGAAAAACAAATGAAAAATCATGGGGAACCAAAGGTTCAACCACCATGGGTCCCATCAAGGCATCGCGCGCATCGCAGAGAGCCACGCAGCCATGGGACGTTTGCCAGCTCCACAGCTACCGGAGCGGTAGCACTGGCTGTGAGAGTGATCTTACAGGTGACGACTGTAGTTTTTAACTATAGAATTTCAGAATACTATAGATATCTATAGGTACTATAGTGATTTATGGTGATTCATCCGATCATCCAAATTATATGCTAGTGTTTTTCATAGTAATTAATAGTCATTTAATCCGTCATTTACCAGTTTTTTTGTGGTGATTTTTGTTGGAATCATTATTGATCACTGTGGAAAATTGAGCTGTGGCTGCTTTAGCCCTGTTGGTTGATATTGACCACAGGAAGAGCCTGTTGGAATCTGATGCTTCATCTAATGGCCGCCATGGGTTTATCTGAAAATTCTCTGGCTCCCCCCTGAAGTTACTGAAGTTTCAAGGAGGATCATCGATGGATCATCATGTTCCCCAAGAATATGCCAATTTTGGACACAGACGTATCCTGAAGCAAAGTGACATAGAAATGTCCATGGAAAATCTATGTGGATGTTCCACATCATTTTCTCAATAACCATGGTCAATTACCATGTTCCCAATATATTTTGGAGTATCACAATCCATGAACTGGGAATCCCTTTTCTAAGAAACAAAACTGACATGTGCCATCCCACCAACTAACATAGATCCTGAGATTCGCAGATATTTGGAGGAAAAGCTTGTCTCCCAACCCTCTAGCTGGCAAGGGCTATGTTGGTTGGGGGGGATGGTCATTGGAAAACGATGATCCAAATATGGCAGTGTGTCAAAACCAAATAGCTGGTAAATGGATGTTCATCCCACTAAAAATGGTATTAATAGGTATTGATCCATACCCATATATCCATAAACCAGGCAGGAAATTCTCCATTTATTGATGATCTGCCCATTAAAAAGCTCCCCATTTATATCTAAAATTATGGGGTATATTAATGGGATTTAATGGGGTATTGCCCCTTGCCACACGTGTCATCCCCAGCCAGTGAAGGAGCCGGATGCATCGACCTCACGTACTGCAGTCTTCGATCGAGTGGCTGCATCATACGACCGCCCTTCCAAAGACTGCGAGGTCGTATGATGGTATGGGAAGGCAGTTTGAATGTTGGGACATTGTTGCCCTTTCCTGGCAACCCCTAAAAAGATAGAAAAGCCAAATCATACTTAAATGGTGACAAATCTCTGTTCTATCTTTGTGGTGGATACTATAATCCGTAGTTTGCTGAAGGTGATGTTGTATTTTCCATATGCGGAATCCATCATTTTGGGGATCTATAGAATTGAATGTGTGTTGTTTTGGGGGAGACATAGGCAAATTCAAGTCACAACAATGGCTATTTTGGGGAGATTGAAGCAACCATGAGGGGCCTTTGTGCAACATTGTGAAATGTTAAGAATTTGAGCGAATTGGGGATGATACCCATCACTATTATTTAACCAGTGATCATGCGGGGTATTTGCCAGTGTTGTCTCAAAATGGGCGATGGCCCCCCCCATTTTTCTGGCAATTTCCATGGGGGACAATGGTAAACCATGATAATATATAATATATGAGAATGGGGCTCCAATTTTTGAACAAGACCAGAATTTTCCAAAAATCGGTCCTGATCTTGTTCACTGAATTTTCAGGATTCACAAATAATTAACCACGATATTTAACCATGGGGCAGCCGAAGAAAACTGCAGGAGCTGGTGAATGCATTGCCTCGAGGGGTGCTGGGATCCATCATCAAGGCGGGAATGATTGATTGATGATGGTTAGATTCTAGTTAGATATGGTTATAAGAGAAAATATCATCCCCAGATATGGTTAGGCCGGTTAGGCCGTATGATGAGAAGGCCGCCATGAAAAAGGCCGCAAATTCAAGGGGGAAACTGAATGATGGTTAGGATTGAGGGAATCATCCCCCGAGCACTATGATGACAGCGATTTTCAGGTGAGTGAATTATAAACAAGCAAACTTCACAGTGAAGCTGAACAAAAAATAATCCTCGGGACCAAGAAGCATTGAGGGCATCAAAGACATGACAAATTGGTAGTTAGGGCTGCATCTGAGACGAAGTGAAGGGATATTTGTCTACATTTGGCTTATCTATGACTCCAAGACATGGGTTTGTTCCAAAAATCACAGAGACCCTCTCGCTATTTAACATACGTAGGTATGGAAAATGGTCCACAGAAATAGATGATAAAAATGATGATTTACCTGTTGAAAAATGATGGTTTTTTTCCATCTCACTATGTGAAATAACCACAGTTTTTCGCCCTTCAAAATGGCCACGGATGGCCACGGATGGCCAGCCAGTACCAGGCGCAAGCCACCTTCCGCGGCTATGTCTTCAGAGCGCGCTATTTCACCAAGGCGCGAGCCGTTGGAGCCTTAGAAAAGAGCCGGTGATGGTTGATGTTGTTTACCCTCTGGTAAACTAACATAGCTATGGAAAATCACCATTTTCAATGGGAAAATCCACTATAAATCACCATTTTCAATAGCTATGTTAAATTACCAGAGGGTACATGTTATGGTTAATTGATGATGGTTACTGGTTGATGGTTAGTGATTTTTTCGTGGTTGATGGTCAATATTGGTTAATGGTTGATGGTGTCATCAACTGAAACCAGCATAGACCAACATATTGAAATGATATTTTTTGATATTCTTTGATATTCTTTGATATTCTTTGATATCTTGTTTGTAAATCTGTTTGGTTTGCAATGTTGGCCGAGGTAGCAGCATATTGCAAGGCCCGGGCTTGCCTTTGTTCCGTATTTTGGTGGGGAGGGAATGGGCCATCGAGGTAGATTTTGTGTCTGTGTGTCTGAGAATGGTGGAGACCTGAATAGGCAAAAAATGGCCATTGAATGATGGGAGAATGATGATCACCCTTCAAAAAATTGAGGGTACCACCTTATTTTGAGAGAAACCCATGTGTTGTTTTGATGAAGAGAAACCGGTACGAGGGGCAAGTTCACGCTATGACAGAAGTTGATAGGATTTTTGCAATGTGCTCACGCATCCCGAGGCGGTTGCATGGCCTGAGCTCCATCCACAGCTGGAGCGGGGTGGCAGATGTGAGGTGATGGAAATATGTTTGAAAGCCAGTTTGATTAAGACTGATTAAGATGATGGTCAGATTCATGAAGTCATGTTTACTTTCATTTCTAGATCCTATCATTGAATGCCATGGAATGCTGACCTTGATTTATGGCAAGTGTATTATCCCACAGGAGGGTGAGACGGTCGAGCTTGCATCCGAGAAGGACAAGAAGAGCCTGCCTCAGAATTTGTTTATCCGCTGAGCTGCAAGCATTTGAATATAGGATTATAAGATGTGAAATGATGCGAATGTCCCTGAATTCTGTGTAGCCAGTACCACTGCCACCCCCTGGTGGGTTTCCAACATGGCATGAAGGGTGACAGGCACAAATGAGCCTGATAGGAACGGCTCAGGAAGAAGTCCAAATCGAAGATGGACAAGAGTGGCATGGCCCGTCCGCCATGTTTGAGCTGGCTGTTCTCAAAGGCAAGTTCAATTCGATGACTTGCGACTTGTAGACTTGTAGAGTGTATACAAGTATGTTTGCCGCAGGCTCAGCAAACTTGATTCTGTGAACTAGCATTTGCATCCATTTGCCAGTTTGTCGCACAACTTTCACGCTGAAGAAGTCGCCATCAAAACATCATACATGTTTCACTGCCGCATCAAGATGGTTTCGCCAATCCAGGCCAGCAGCAAGGCAGATGCTACCAATCTCAATCAGACCATCAGCGACTTCCAGCCAAGGGTTTCCAAGTGCCCAACCGATCATCCCATCCTCAGAATCCACAGATTCCCAGGATGGCTTGGCAACGAAGAAATTCCCAGGTACCTCGGTGGAGAAGGCAATACAGCGAAGCCAAGCGTGCCCAGATCTGAGTTCATTCGGATCTATGGGAATCCCTAGCCTGCAAGGCGCGTAACGTGTTTCCATCTTCATTCACCTTCATTTTAAGTGCTGGAAAGTGTCGGAAAATGCTGCTTGAGAAGTGCTTTCATTCCAGGCTGCTAGTCGAAACATGTCGGACAACCCTCCGGTGTTCTGCTGAGGAGCTCGCCAACGAATTCACCGATGCACAAAATGGGCTCCACAATGGGCCAGGCGCCAAGGATCTGTGTCATCCTCACAGAGAGATGAGAGCGTCTCTGTTTCAAAAGTCTCAGATTCACCACTTCTGCACCAATTTCGGAAGAATTTTAAAGGCCATGAAATATCATGAAATATCCCATTAACCCATATGAAATCCCCATTGATGCTTAAAAAGATCCCATGTTGCATGACCAATAAATGCATCCCATGAGAGTCCCCTCCGAACGCGATCCCGGGGAATCCCATCCGAGGCTCCACCAAAGGGTCTCAAATGGCGGTGCGGCGCCACAGGGCGGCGATGTGTCCACTGGAGAATTGCCAAAACGTTTGATGTCGAGGATGCATTGCCTATATCATGATCTACATATATCTATAGATAATATCTATAATTATCTATATATGATTATGATTGTTGTTATTATATATCATTATTGTTGTTGTTATTATTGTTATTGTTATTATTGTTATCTGTTATTATTGTTATTATTGTTATTATTGTTATTATGGTTATTATTGTTATTATTGTTATTATTGTTATTATTGTTATTATTGTTATTGTTATTATCATCATTATGTTCATATAGTATTAGTATTATAATCATAATCATCATTATGATTATTGTGGTATCATTGTAGTATTCGTCTTATTATTACTATCGTGTTATTATTATTGTTGTTATTGTTGTTGAAATTGTTATTATTATTGTTGTTGTTGTTGTTGTTCATATTATTACTACTATCAATGTTGTTGTTATTATTCTTATTATAATATCGTTATACTATCATACTATTATATCATTGTATCATTATATCATTATATTTTTGTATCATTATGTTAATTATATTATTATATTATCATATTGTTATTGTTGTTATTGTTACTATATATATATACATACATATACATTGCTTTGAATAATTTTACCGTCGGAGAGAATCTTTGATTGGAAGTGCGTATAGAGTCTCTACACTCAGCAGTCATTTACGTTCATAGCTCGTAAATCGAATTGCGCGGACGGCACTTGCTGGCAGGGAGCAGATGTTCGCAATCGCGCATGGCCCCTTCCGACGGCCGGGCAAACTCTCCGGGACTTGGGATTTCATGGATAAAATTTCCTGTAACACGTCCTGGAAGCATCGAGTGATTCAATAACTTCAGACCTGGAAGCATCATGCCAAAATGATCCTAAAATGATCCAAAATGTGATTATGGCATTCCTGATTCACTTTCAGAGCGTCGCATGCATTTGTCAGCCCAACCAACTCCACGTCTGAGCTTTCCTGCAGGCGGATCACCGCGCCTGCGCGGATTTGTTTGCGCTTTACATGTTCAACCTGCTGGGTGGCCCAGCAGGGAGATGCATCACAGATGAAATATCACAGCTGCATGAAATTTTGGATGGATTCCAATGGAATACTATACATGATGTGTCAATCTTGCACTACTACGAATTGCGCACGTTTTTGATTTTTTGGGACAGTATCATTAAGGGCACAAGGGAAGGAACGTGTCCCTCACGCAGCAAGAGATTTACAGCATCCAGTGGCAGCTGGTAGCGCATTGAGGTATCGTCGAAAGGAATTGACCAATATGTGGTCAACTCTTTGCAAGTCCTACGAACGAGGCAGATGATAGGGAATGGATTTTTCCTCATCAATGGTAAAGGTTTCAGAATGTCAATTAGTCTCTGTGCATCGTGGAAGTGCTTGGCCAAAATGGTCCAGTTTCCGGGCACCTCCAGCCGTGGCAGGAATGGACTCGTATGCGGAGTTGCTTCATCGAAACCCTGCCTTGAAGCCGATGCTGGAGTGTGGATGCTGAGCCTGGCAATCCACCAGGTGATGATACGGCGATGATATCAATGTGCCCAACTTTGATATGTCAAGGTGATGGGATTTAAGGATGATTTGGATGATTTGGTACTTGTATGATCTTGTATATATGTACTTGTAGAAATTCCGAGAATTTCCTACGTGACCACCAGTTCCAAATACGAACTCATGCAGTTCTCACACCTAAGCATCGTTGAATTCCAAAGTAAACCCTTTTTTTTTGTACGAAGATTCTAACTGTTTGTCTTTTTCCAGCAATTCGAGAATTCTGCAATGTAAAGGCTGCAAGGGCGGAGTGACCCTTTCGTTGCCTTGAACTGAACATGAAATTCTACCTGTTCTTTCCTTGGCCCCGAAAAGCCACAAGCCGCATCAACCAGCGTGTATCAGGTCCATTGCTGCTCAGCTCAAGCGTGGATCTGTTGTTGGCTATGACAAGGTCTGCATCTCTGATGGTCCGAGATATTTTTCGGTATTGTTCCATCGAAAATGTGGATTGTAAATCACTAGTACATTTGTTACATGCTCATTCTTTCAAAGTAGCTACTGTAGTTTGGAGACAGGGTGTAAATGCTTGGAAATTTGGGGAGCTCCAGAAGTGTTGCACCAGACGTTAAGAAGCCATCCACTCCTGTCATCTCCTGTCGCCAGGCCTTCATTGCCAAGCACAAGAAGGAACCAACTGAGCAGCTTAGACAAACATTCAACAAACATTCAGTTAGCAAATGGATATGCAAATGGTTGCTTCAGATGGTGTGCCATCCAGAAGCTTTTGCCAACTCGGATCTCTGATCTCCGATCTCCGTCTTAAGGCAACAAGGTCGTGTGAAGCCAGTGGATGCAGACATCTTCAAGAGCAAGACGGGCAAGCAAGTTGGAACGTTTTTTGGCGCAATTTCACTGAAAAGCGAAAAATGAAAAGCTTCTGTATGCTTCTGTGCTTTGCGATGTTGCCCCAGTGTCGGTTCCATCAATATGTTCATGCTCGGTGGCCTTTCCCATAGTGAACTGAAGCCTTGGGACAGTTCTACTTCCACCATCCACCAATGCGCTGTCGCTTGCACCCGTAAGGATGGGTTCCACGGGTCAGGCCACAGTGCAGCTCTCGGGTCGTCTTAGCTCTTGAGCGTGGAACATAGCTGGAGTGGCTTTAGAAAACCAGAAAAGGATAGAAAAAGGATTTGGTCGTTTGGGGTATACTATTTGATTGTTTAATATTGTTTAGCATTTAAAGAATATTATCATTTTGCTGGTTCAGTCAGCCATGATTATATGATCTTATATGATTCTTGCTTCATTTTAATCATGTTGGTTCGCTTGTCTATATCATTCTATATCAACATTGATCATTTGAGAGTTAGGTGAAATGGACTGGAAAGCATATTTGGAGATGTTCAAAATGCAAATTTTGGATTTTGGAATATGTTTAATCTGGGCTTGTTCATCCACATTTCAGTCAATTCGGGGTTTCGCCATTTCGCCATGGGCCCCAAGGAGCTACCCAAGGATAAGGCCGCAGCTGCTTCACCAGGTGCTCTTGGAACAGCCAAGATGGAGATTTTTCACATGATTTAAGCATCGGAAAGTCTGCAACCACTCACTGGTTGGTAGTTTAGGATGTTTAGGCTTCCCCTATCCAACAATGTTGTGTATAAATGTGTATAACCAATCTGAAATGCCGGAGTCAACTAGTAGTACAGATCACAATGACTTACAACTTCACCATGCCCTTATTTGTATGGCTACTTGTATCTTCAAAAATAGAAATGGAATACAACCAGAATCCCTGAATTTGGTGATCCATTTGGCGGTGATGGAGGTGCAACTGCTACTATGGCCATGTCTATGAAATCCATGAGCCTCACAGTTGGAGAGAAACCAGAAGCCATGGACTCAGGCGATGCAAAAGTTGGAGGAAGAATTTCCACTGACAGAGCTGTGGTGTTTGTTTGTCCCATGAATTGTCCCAGATTTCAGATTTCAGAAGTTGGTCTTCGGGAGAAATCTGATGTCCGAGAGCATCTCTAATCGCAGCCTCTCGCATGCGATCCAGGTGTATTAGTTATGTTTTTTTTCAGCAAAGAAGAGTCTTGGATGGGGGTATCTTTGATGATTCGTTGATGCATGGTGTTTCTGTGATGCCGCTCAGTCCTGAGATTGCCTCGTTCGCAGCCCATTGTGGCTTGAGAAAATAGATCAAGAGGTATGCTCAAAAGATGCAGTGCGATTTTCGCCGCGATCGAATTGTGGTTGCCCACTTCTAGCCTCCCAATCCCGAGACAGCTGCAAGCTGAGGGTCAAGCCGAAAGCGAAGCAGAGTGGGTTATTGAAGGGAACTGCACTGTTGATGGAGTTTGCGTTTCCAGTCCAAACTTTCCTGAACCCTATGGGAACAAGGACTATTGCCTCATCTCTTTGCCCAAGCCGGCACTACTTGAAGTGACCGCCTTCGAAACGGAGAAGGGATACGACAAGCTGACCGTCAATGGCAAGCAGTTTAGTGGAACAAGTCTGTTGGGCGACTCCTTCAATGCGTGGACTAACATCACCTGGCGCTCGGATGAGTCGGTGGTTGAACGTGGTTGGCAGTTCTGCCTGGTCACCTTGACCTGTGCTGATGGCTTGCCATTGATCCCAGTAGCTGTACGCGACTGTCCTCCGGGTTCTGCAGCTCTTCCCAGCTGCGATGAAGCTGCTCCGGGAGACCTCTGTGAAGGCGATGGAAAATGTGGGACTAGGACTGACAGATTTCTGGTGTATGACTTTGAGGGACTATAATATATCTGTCATCCAAAGGAGTGTACTACTATGTAACTATGTAATACTATGATATACTATGTACATATTGTACATCTATATATGTACTATTGTTGTACTCGTCAATGATGAAACTGGATTCTTATTTGTCAATGGGCATGTTTCCAAAGATTGCAGTTGGGGTGTTTCTGTTCTTTCTGCTGTAGTATCTGAACAAAAGAGGGTTTGACAGCCTCAATCTGCTGGCAGGACTGATGTCAACAATTGCTATGATGAATTTTTCACTTATCCATCGTCAAGAGACGTCTATAGGAAGGCAGTTGGTTCAACCGGAACCACAACTGCAACTACAACGTTTCCTCTCCTCGTAGGTGGTTCTAGTGACGGTTGGAGCGTCACAGGACCGTGCAGCATTAGCGGAGATTGCATCCAAAGTGGCAATTTTCCAGGCAAATACGGGGATAGCGAGCAGTGTGGCATCAACATGCCACAGCCTTCGGTGATCAATTTCACCGCGTTCTCCACAGAAAAGTCTTATGATGTTCTGGCTGTGAATGGTGTTGGGTACTCTGGCGACGGGGAAGCCGGCTTTATAGTTGTTGCCTGGGGTAATATCACCTGGCGTGCAGACTCGAGTGTGGCTTCAACTGGCTGGGAGTTGTGCTTTGTATCGCCCAAATGTCATGATGGTTTAGCCCTAAGTCCCGTGGGCGTGCCGGATTGTCCCCCTGGTCCCGAAGCACTTCCAAGTTGTGACGAAGCCTTGCCGGGAGAGCTCTGTGAGGGTGGCTGTGGGACCCGCAGTGACATCAACAACTGTTGCTGGCGGGTGCTTTCAGATTGTTCTTTTTCTTCCCCCTTAGGCATGATGATCCCAACATATTCCCCCCTTATATATATAATTATATATATATACAATATATACACATATACATACTGCATACATATATGTATATATCCTTATATCATCTTAATATCCCATGATATCCGCAGTATTTGGGATGATGACCCCAACTGACTAGGTGGATTATTAAAACACCACACGAGGTTACGATGCACACTACAGCTACCCACCCTCGCGAGATGTCTACCGAAAGGCTGAAGGTAACACCTTGACCACCACGATGGTGACCAGCACGAGCACCAGCACATTTTTGGACACCACCACTGATTTAGCAGCCACTGGATCACCATGGTCAGTGCAGGGTCCATGTGAAGCCGTTGGAGCATGTGTCCAAAGTCCCAATTATCCCGAAAACTACGGAGATCGTCAATCCTGCAATTTGTCTCTCCCAAAACCTTCGGTGGTGACCATCCTGGATTTTTTGACTGAACCAGACATGGACTTCCTCACGCTGCATGGCGTACCCTTCAGTGGCTTGGGCCCTGGCAAGAAGACCTTCACCCTGTGGACCAACATTTCATGGAGATCGGATCCTTCTGTAGCTGAACGAGGCTGGAAGATTTGCCTGGACCCGCCACCATTTTGTGACGATGGCTTGCCTTTGACCCCAATCGCAGTCCGAGATTGTCCGCCTGGCTCCACAGTTCTTCCAACTTGCGAAGAGGCTGCTCCAGGAGAGCTCTGTGAAGCAGATGGGCAATGTGGCACCCGAACAGATGTCAATAACTGTTGCTGGTTGGAGGTTTATGGAGGTTTCATATCGTTTACTTTCCACTCGAAACCGACTCCGAGAGAATAAGAACCTTAGTAGACTTTCGTATTCTTGGATACTTTTTCATATTGGTGGAATCACCCAGGTTATGATCCGTCTTACACCTATCCAGCCTCCCGGGATGTGTATCGGAAGTTCAATGGCACAGCCACCAGCACTACCACCAAAACGGTGTCCACGGTGACAACGACCACCACCAGCAGCAGCCAATCCACCACCCTATTGGAGGGCTTCTGGGAGGGCCCTGCTCCATGGACAGCCTCTGGAGGCTGCAAACTCCATGGAGCCTGCGTTGAAAGTTCCAACTTTCCAGACACCGGTGAGAGTGAGGACTGACATAGTGAACCCGAACCGTGAACCCTAGAGCAACATACGGTAACATATGGGGTATCATACACTTACATATATTCTGCATATAAATGTTGAAATGTTGTTGATGTTTTGTTGACTTCAAGTGTTCCTTATTTGTTATTTTGTTGAATTTTGTTGATGCATAGGCTTGCTTGGCAAACATTTACATCCAGGTCTTAAAGGCCCTTTAGCACCGTCCAGCAGGACTGTGAGTTTTCATTGCCACGGCCTTCAGTGGTCAGAGTCACTGCCTTCAGTGCTCAAGATGGTGACAGCCTCACCATCAACCATGAAGCCTACACTGGTGATGACCTGGAAGGTAGATTGGTGGTTTGGATAGGGGAATGCAACAAGATAGCCTGGTTGTAACATACCAATTGGTGTAGCATTGCGAAAAAAAAAAACACGCCTTCTTTGAAGCAACTTGAGTTGATTGATTGAACTGCAGTTTCAATGAATTTCAATGTATCAATTGGATTTCTCGTTGAAACCCATGGGACCTCCAAGTCCTGGAAGGTCAGTTTTTCACTATTTGGTCGCCAATCTCTTGGCACTCAAATGGAGAAGGCTCCAAGTTCCAGCTGTGCTACGAACCTTTGCCTCTCTGCAGCGATGGCTTGATCCTGAGCCCAGTAGAAATCAGAGACTGTCCACCGGTGGAAGAAGCTTTGCCAGGCGCGGCGCCTGAAATTCACACTTTGATTCAGGATTAATATGAGTAATATTGAGTAATCGGGGAATTGGCCGGAATCAGGGGTTCAGAAAAATGGTGGTCTTGAGTCTTATTTTTAAAAAAACATCTAAGAACCAGGAATGCCGAGAGAGAACCAAATCGATGTCTTACGTTTCACGCTTTGTTTGGTGATGTCTTGGCAACAGGGACGTGCTTGCGAAAGTGCTTTTGTCCAGGACATGATTATGTGAGCTCCATGTTTGAGTCTTGGGAAGGTGAAGGGTGTCAATATGTCATGATCAGCGGGTCCCATCATGTCCCATTTTTTGAGGCTGCGATGTTGCAGCTCCTGGAGAGTTTTGTGTAGGCAAATGTGGCACGCGTGATGACATTGACAACTGTTATGATGCAAGCTACACCTATCCCCCTTCGCGCGATGTTTCTTGGAAATGATTTTCGGATTTTACCATGGTTTTACCATTGTTCTTGAGTTTCTTCAAAATATGTCCAAAGATTTTTAGCACAAATGATCCAAAACTGTTTGGCTGTTTTGTGAGATTGTTTCATGGAGCGAGCCCAGGTCTACAGGAAAGCGAACGGAACCACTAGGACGACATCGACCACAGTTAGCCTGACTCTCACGACCACGACTTCCACTACCTCCACACACTGGTCTTCCAAAGGCCTTTGGAAATATGTGGGACCTTGTGAGGTTCAGGACAATTGCATCAGCTCTCCTCAAGTACAAGGGCATTGCACGGCCATTCCACCGCTTGGAACACCAATCAAGCTGGTCTCTTACTCCAAGAGTGAAAGCGGTGAAGAAAGTGGGGAAAGTTTGACAATTGATGGACGCCACTTGACCCCTTCAGACCAAGGGCATCTATTCCTAGTCCAGTCTCAGCTTTCATGGAGCGGGACATCAGAAAGTTCCTGGGAACTCTGTACGCAAGTGCCTAGCTGTGAGGATGGTCTGACCCTGACCCCAGTGGTCAACTGTCCATCCAACCTGAACGACTTGCCCGGCTGTGAAGCCGTGGAACCTGGTGGTATCTGCAGGGCTGGGGAGTGTTTTACTTCAGATCAGTTGGGGAACTGTGAAGGTCTTGCAGTGTACCAAAAGGCCATAGGGACCACCAAAACGCTGACCACCACATGGACACAAACTGCCACATCCACAGCTTCTCTCTGGCAAGTGGAGGGCCCCTGTGGTGTGTCTGGGGCATGTGCAGAAAGCCCCAACTTTCCAGAAGCTTAGCTGAGGAGTTCAGGCAGTGTTTGTTGATGTTTTTGCATTTGACGTTCTGAATTGGGACATATCAAAGGTTTTCAGAATCGCAAAAGTGTTGTTGGCAAGAGTGTTGGTTTGAATCGGAAACCTGGTATCATCGCCTATTGGATGCCACATTTGGAAGCATTTATATAGAGCCACTCCTGCTGACCCATTGCAATCTGCCCGGAAGGGTTGAGCAAATCAGGACGAGTATGGTCTGAATGAACGATGCACGCTGACGGTACCGGAAGGGACAAGTGTGACAGTGACATCGTTCTCTACAGAAGAATTCTACGACTGTCTCACCATTAATGGTGAGAAGTATAGCGGTGCTCAGGGTTTGGTCGGTCGCTAGACTGCAACGGGTTTGGCGCTCTTTCAGAGTCTGAGATAGTGGTCCTGTGAGTATCCCATAGTATCCCGTGATGCCAAGTATTGATACATATTGATAGACAGTGTTTTTTTAATGAATTCTGTAGTGTTTTCCTCTCAATCTACTGCAAGGTCAGAGCTTCGTGGTGTCCTCCCCGATCCAATGGAGGTCTGATGAATCAAACACTGGACCAGGGTGGCAGATGCTTGGCAAAAATTGGCAAAATAGAATTGCAAATTATCAGTTTGGGTTGGCTATTTCTGGCTATTTCATGGTATATTTAATGGTATGTATGGTTATATTATGGTTATGTCGGACGTGTTTTCTCAAAAAAAAAGGAGGAGAATTAAGTGCCCACTGCTGTGGTGGCCTGTCATAGCCGCTTGGAGCTTTCCAGGATCTGCGTTGGCGGCTGGGAATCCACAACCGCCACAAGCACCATGACCTCAACGGAGTTGATGGTGTGAAGCAGAGCGCACCTTCGATGCATCCGAAGCTGCGCACCAGGTATCTACGCTGCAACAAGCGAAAACACCGTCGGGCCGAATGGTTGCTCGAAGTGCCGAGAAGTGGTTTTGAGCAGAAAATTGGAGGAACTATCATTTCCTCCGCCAGGTAAGGTCAGTAGCGCCTGTACACGACAGAATGGCAAAGGTACAGTTCAAAGTGTCAGAGTGTTAATACTTGTGAGTCTTGTAGCCATGCCCTAGTTGGACAAGTTATGGGTTTGCTAGAAATCCAAAATATTGCAAACTCTTGGCTAGTGGACTAGGGGTGCTGTTTTGCCGCCAATGCAGTGAGTTCAAGCTGCTGCATGCAGTAATACCATATCATATATACCATATCATAAGTCACAACATATTGTGTGACCAGGAGCAAGGTAACATATTATGTGACTAGGAAGCTCCGGGAGCTTTTGAACAGACAGAAACACAGAAAAAAAAAAACTGGTCCCGAAGCTTCAGGTGATCGCAGTCTGTTGGCAGCGGTGCTTTGTGTGAGGCATGGCACTTCTGGCAGCCTAGTATAGAATAGATCTTAATCAGAGATCTTCAAGAGAGATCTTGAAGAGAGATCTCAATTTTGCTTTGCGTCGGCACCCTTCTCCCCCATGACTCTAGTGACTCCAATTATTTGTGTGTGTGTGTGTCTCCAGAGCATCTTAAGCCACTCTTTATTTAGTGATTACATGTTTGAGCCAAATGCAATGAGCGAAGTTTTGGGCGTGCAATGAACGAACTGTACGTACTCTGCGTGAAGACTTTGAACAACAGTCGTGTCGGCCCGTTGTGATCCAATTGCCAACAGAAACATCCAATTTCATCATCTACGAACTAAGGCTTCAACAATTCTTGAGATGGGTGCTAGTGCTTCAATCCAGTGAACATACAGAGGCAAGTTGTTGAGGAAACCACTCAACACCTAGCCTCTGCTAGATTTCTTGAGCTCGGGAAGGGCAGTCTGATTTGCTGAAGCGCGCTTGCAGGAAAACATCCAGCCGGTACCAGCTGGTACCGAGCATATATGTCCGACAAATTCTGATTACTTGTTTTATGTTAGTTTCACAAATATGATTTGGAGGTGAAATGTTCATTGCGTTTTTTTCGCACCATGGAATAGACATCTACAGTTCTGTGTTTTCTTCAGGAAGGGAAAAAAATAGAAACCACAAGAGCTGGTCGCAGTCGCACAAAAACTTTTCCAGTTACTTCCAATTCGGCTACGGCCGGTGCCATGCAATTGACATGCTTTTGAGACCTCTTGAAGACGAGGAAGTTTCAGATGGGTGTTGGCACACCCCAGGCCGACTCTCACACCACCAACAAGTTGCACCGGCATTGCCCGGCAAGATCTGGAACAAAGGCGGTTGAAAAAGCCATGGTTGGAACAATCCACAGGAGTTGCACTTCTGAAAACCCTTCGGCACAAAAAAGAGTGGCTAAGTTTGCCATGGTTACTACTGTTTTTGCATCAGTTGCTTTACTTTGCGAAACGAATGCTAAAAGTTGGATGAGTGCGGGACTCTTTGCCTGTGGCAGAACTGTGTTCTGCAAAGGCGGAGCAAGCCAATTCGAAGCCACGTCGGTGCATGAGTAGATAGTTCTGAGACACCACGACGAGTCCAAATACGCGAAAAAAACATAAAAAAGACCTGGAGACTGTTCATTGCCTAGATGGTAATAATATGTAATAATATGTAATATCATATGATCGCGTGTATAGATGTGTATAGTAAAATAGCTTTCCCTGATTGTGACAGTCGTCGAGTCGATCCTTTCTGTGCCAAGGACTCAGAGGTTCAGGTCACAGGAGAGTACCTCACCAACTACTTGAAGGAGATGGATGGTGATGATTCACAATTCAAGGACTGACACTGAAAACAAGCAGACACTGAATCTGAAAAAAGCTGTGAAAACACAGATTTCCAGTAACTCAGGGGTTGTGCTACTTTGAATTTTCATGTGGCTTGGAATGCTTAGGTAGGTTAGAGTCGCTGAGTGCAGAACTGTGGTACTGGACTGCAGCTCATCAACTTCTTGAACTGGGATGGACCTTTGAATCTGTGTGCACGGCACTGTACAAAAATCTGAATGTTTCGAGGACATCAATGCAGCTGCCGGGAGTCTCAGTATTACTGGTATGACCGCCATCAGTGTTTCTCATTGATCAATTTGCTGTTGCTCAAGGTTAGTTTATGTTAGTTTGTTTGCATAAGAGTGGAGTATGTGGTCGGTGTGGAAATACAGTTTTTCTCATGCGGTAAACGCAATAATGCACTTACCATTTTGGGATGGTCTATAGAACCCCTTTGTATCCATGTGTGGTGATTTTGGGGATGGTTTATTATTGGGTTTCCCACATTATACTAGATTATGATATAAGTGACACAGAATGTTTCAGGTGTTGCAGATCTCATCCAGGGTCTCATCCTGCACAGGTTGTACCGCTATCCACTGGAAGCAGTCCCCCACGCTTGCAACCAGCAGAGTGCTTGCCTCAATGCTACATCCACCATCTCCGGTTCTCTCAAAATTCGGCACCCCAGAGTACTATGGTTTGATATACTTTGATTATATCATCATGTTGACATAGGTTCACTCTAAAAATGACCATATATGATCCCTATATATATGATAATATATGTATGATATACAACATATGTATATATATACATATATATACATATATATATATACATATATATATATACATATATATGTATATACATATATATATGTATATATATGTATATATAATTATATATATATGTATATACTCGTGATTATTGTGCTATCCCCGCATTGACGCAGACCCAGCTGATTTGGGATGCAGACGGGGACCACCATGGTGGTTGCCAAGGTCCATCCTTAAAACCGAAGAGCTCAACGACAAGACTGAAGGAGCACAACGGGGCGCGACGTCTCCGGGGGGAACAGGCCGAGGTCAGCTTTAGGCTGATCCAGCCAGGTGGCTTTCAAAAGCTGCAGGTGTATCTAGTATCACTATGTATCACCTGTGGGTGAAGTCTTTGATCATGACTTCAGTGGAAAGTAGGATATTCCAGTGGTACAAAGTGGCTACTTCCGCAAAGTGGCTCAAAGTTGAAGCTTCTTTTGCCCCATCTCTCATCAAGCCATGGCCGCTTGGCACTCAGACACCGGACTTACAGATTTTTTGAGGCCGTTCTGGGCAGGTGATCCGCTAGACACTAGTCATACCACACAGAAACAAAGAAATCAAGTCACCTTGACATTGCAACTGCAAGTGGCAAACTCCTTATTGTCATCCAATTTCAAACAGCTTCTCATCACAGCGGCTAATGTGGTTTGAAGAATAAAATGGAAGCCCATAGTGGATGGTGATGCTTTATCGTACCGAATCTTACCCCCAGGCGAATGACGAGGCAGCGGTGAAGGCGAAGATTCGCGAGTGCCGTGGCTCCAAACAAAAACTATAGGGATTGATGGGGCCCAGCGTTACAAAAATATCATGGAATATCCCAACATTGTGGGGGAAATGAGGGATATCCCAATGGTGGCGAAGTTTCCCCACAAGAAATGGTGGCATTTTTTGCAATGGGAAAAAAGATGAGAAATCATCGGGTGGAATTGGGTTCCCCAGTTGGAGACAAGCCCAAGGGAAGATGAGAAATACAGTGGTTTTGATTTCAGGTGGCATGTTATCATATTTTATCCCGATGGGTTGTATGTGGGTTATTATACATAGTAAATATGTATGTCTATGCACAAGCGCGATATATGTGAATTATATATATATATATGAATTAAGTCACTTACCAACTGGGATGCACCGGGTGAAAGCATTGTTCTGCGATGCCGAAATGCTGCTGCACAAGGTATTTGGACTTGACCCTGCCGGAATGCTTTGTGCCAGAGCTGGGAGAGCAGAAGCAGGGGAAGGCACCGTTGGTTTTTCAATGCGGAAAGCTGGCACCATGAAACTGATTTAATAATGGGAAATGATGATATTAATGGAAGTTAATGGGAATTAATGGGATTTAATGCAATACCATTCAAAAGCTGATAAATGAAATTAAATGAATATTGCCAAACTTCAAAGAGAGTAACAAACTTAACGAATGCAGAAGGACGTATATATAATGTATAGTCATGTGTATTCAATGTACACTACTCTATGGTGTTTGCAACCCAAGAAAAGTCTTGCAGGTGCGCAGCATCTACTTCTCCGGGCCAAATGTGGTCATGGTTACCAATGACCGTCCCAGCCCTTGTGATGAGCACCATGAATTGCCCTTTGGTGCATAGCATCATTAAATATCATTAAAAGATATTAAAAGACAAAAAATAAAACATTGCCTGAGGTGTGTCTGCCTTCGACTACATCTTGCCGCCCGCTGCTTGCATGTTGAAGCATTGCCCCTTGTTGACCAGTGCTGTCGCAGGGGATATAAATCGGATAGCCGAGCCAGGAACCTGATTCCGTTCAAGGGTCAGGTCTTGAACATGATCAGCGAGTGGGCCTTCAGCCAAACGAAGGACTGCGATGTGTCAGCCTATGTCCGCCTTCTCCAGTGCGATTGGGTGAGCTTGGAAAACCACACTAGCTTATGACTTACGACATTTTATGACCATATGACTATATGGTCCTGGGAACGATACGTGATATGCCATGGAGATCTGAGGGCAAACAAGATATTTTAGCATGGATCTGATTTTGATAGAATTGACCCAGAAGCAGCTGTAGCATGCTGTAGCTACAGATGCTACAGACATCAGCGTTGTCAGGATATCATCCCCAACGCGTTGATCGAGAACGTTGATGCCAGCGTGGTGGTCCAGAAGAAGATGAAGAACCTGAACGTTGAGCTCATCGTCAGAGGATGGGACCAGTCACAGTGACGAGTTGATTGTGTGAAGGAATCCAGCACTGCGATCAAACAATGCGTTGCAAATAATGTCTTTGTTATGTGTTGAGAATATGACAGATACGGCAGACTTACTGTTAATAACTAATAAGTAATAACCATCACAAATAGTCTGTTCATGTCTGTTCCACAACTATAATTCTTTGAAAATAGCTTCAACAACTTTCATAGGATGCGTGTCCCAAACTGGAGCAGCGAGTTCTGCCGCACAATGATGCATGGACACGCTCCCAAAGGAGTGTGTCTTTTTCCTGAAAATTCGGTATGATATGAATGTGGATGCCATACACATAGATATCCAAGTTGAGGCATATGTTATTCCCAATCGGTATAGATGGTATCTGACATCCCAACAAATGTTCCTATGCTGATTCCAAAGCTATCCTATTGAGGCTCTCAGCGTTGCAAATCAGGATACCTTTGGGGAAGCATGGCGGCGGCCTATGAGAAGGGTGACAGAGTCTTCTGCGGACTGAAGCTGCCAGAAGGGCTGGACCCTCAGGAGAATATGAATTGTGTGTGTGTGTGAATACTCTAAATGTTTATGTATGTGTTGTGTACAAATTTAGACACATACACAGTCAGATATATACATACACATACACGATCTAATGGATATATCAGCATATACATATATAGCATATATACATATGCTATCATATGTTATATTCTTGGTACATTGTGGTTCGAATAGACTTACTCCGTGCAGCCCAGCTCCGTGCGGTTCACTCAGGCTGATCCGCTTTCAGAAGCTGGATGCTCCCATCTTTACACCAACGACAAAGGCAGAAGTTGGTCACTTGCTTCAATGATGCGGAAAGAAGAATGTCTAGTCTATACGGATGCTTGAATTGCACAAAGTTGTCTCGTGGTGTTTGTCAACTCTAATGTGTACAAGGGCCCAAACAGACGACGGTTGGATTTAAACTCTTTCGATGGAATCCTGATATGGAATTTAAGGCCACGATGAGAACATGACCATGGAAGATATGGAGAAGCTCTTGGGCAGCTGGGCGGCAAACTAGATAGTAGGAGCCATTGACGGCGGTGAAATCCGATGTCTGAAAATGGGGGCATACCATAGAAATGCTTCCCAATATCATCCAATATCGATAGATATCAATAGCATCAAATCGGAATATGATTAGATCCCAGTGGATTTTGGGTATACCCTTTTTTTGGACAAACCAGCAATCACTTTTCTTCCCACTTTCCTCATCCTGAGCATCAAGTGGCAAAGGAAAGGAGCTGGCTAAGAAGGCTATGGATGCTGCCATGAAGCTTTTCCAGAGAGGCACCTATAGGGCCGATGTTGGGATGTTGAGCTATCAGCAGACAAGTTCAACCAATGTGTGATGCATCATGTTTCTGATATAGTTTCTGATGTTGTGCTACTATACATTTACTTGAATGATGCGGATGCTTTATATGTATAGTTGCAACTTTGCTGTCAAAGGTTTCTCCATTTGTTTGCAGCATTGATGTGCGCCAGCAAGAGCATGATCGCAGGTTCCGAGCTCATGAAGAAGCGAGGTCTGATTCTGCTGGACTTGCTGGCATGTCAGCATTCAACTGTCCCAGTCCCTTTGCTGCTGGTAAGTCACCTTCCAATGACTCTGGTTAGTTTGCTAGTCCCCAAGACAAAGTTTCCTGACTCCTTTCTCCACCTTAAGTAATAAAGTTCTGGTCTGTTTTCAGCCAGTAGCTTGTGATGCACCTAATAGTGAGTCAATAGGGCTGCTGTTCTCCGCAAGACTTCATATCAGAGTGTTCCTGAAGGTTGCCTTTGGGTCAATCTGTTGATGTGGACCAGCCACAGCAACATGACAGGATACTAAGTATGAGTTCGGCGTTGATGAGAAGGGGGTGATCCATGTCATTGACGAGGCCAAGTCTCAAATGATGTCGTGCAGCAGAGCAGGGTACTATTCAAACTCAGTATGGTATCAAGTTCTTCATGCGTCAAACTCTTCAGGTCAACACACCAGACTCTTCCAGGATGTGCACAATCGAGGAGCAGTTTGTTCACTTTGGCAAAATCACTGTTCAGACTTTGTGCTTGTAGGGTCACTACGGATGGCCTACTGTATTTGCTGGAGTGTTGAAACAAGTTCAAGAACAACTTGGCGGCCAGTGATGTTTGGAATCGCATGAAAATTCTTTGGCATGATAATCGGATCTTGTGTCAGGAGTACGAATCCAAGTACCCAAAGATTGCAGCAGAGATGAAGAATGGAGAGTGCGCCTCCCAGAGTTTGACAGTTGGTGTTGAGTAGTGCAAGAGATAGTGGCAAGTGTTGAGACTACTATGATAGCATCCCGGAGTCACAGCACGACTACCTTGGTTTGAAGCCCGTAGGCACAAGAACGTCACAGAGCTAATGAAGGCAAAGCCTGAGTTGAAGATGAAGGAGTTCTCGAAGCAGTATGCCAGCGACACCCAGAACTCGTTTCCTGAAGATCTAGGAAGCATCAAACAATGAAAGGTCGGTCTACAACACGACACAACTTGACATAACAGAAACATAGACAAAAGATGAAAAATATGGGGAAAAAAACAACCAGAAAGTTCAAAACGGCTTTGGGTCCCACTTTTGATCGGCTTTTGCGATTCCATTGAGGTGCGAGATGCCTTGCTGGATTTGGGCTTTGATCCTACCAAGGCTTCTTCGCTTGTTCGAAACGTGCTTCAAACATTGCTGCTGGCAGAAGCTTCCTCAACTGTACTGTGTACTGAGACTTTTGCTTGTGGGTTCTCTTGCCCTGTACACGCCAGAAAGACCTAGTTTTACATTTACTCAGAGAGTAGCTCGCCAAAAGATGCTAGAAGGCCCCTGTCGAATCATTTTATCATGTGCAATTTCTGGCACAGTCGGTGGAAAAGCGACTACACAAATATCTTGGCACGGCAAATTCTGCGTTCTTCCGGAGCTGTACTCATTAGTGATAGATTTGATACATTTGCAGGACAAGAGTGCTCCAAAGCTAAGTGATGAGCAAGTGGTGGAATGTCCGTTCCTCGGAAATCTAGAAATTGAACGGCCAGTAGATACGAGTTGTGTCCACATAGTGACCGAATGAATTTGTTTCACTTCGCCCCCCATTGTCTTCCTTACACGACTCAGGTGCATTTCGCTACATGAAGATCTATGAGACTGTGACCGGAAACAAGTCTATCGCTCGACTGATCGATGTTCGTCAATGCCACTGTGTCCAGAAAGCATTGTTGGTTGCCCATGATCCCGTCATAAAGATGGTCTTGTTTTTAAAAAAGTTCGAAACCGCAAATAGGCCAGAAACACCAAAACCGACAGCAACTTTCTTTATAGTAAAAATATGTAAAAATAGGCTGCAATTGTTTCCTGCCTCATTCGAATCAGGTTTGAATTTCCGTCAAAGATGGCGCCAGAAAAGAGGCTGGCTGGATACAGAACATGCTCACTTCTGGCTGATCAGCTGAAGTTTCAAAGCCCAGTATGGCTCGAAAACAGTTCACCGATGTTGACCCCAAAATTCCATGCCTGGGTACTCAAAATCATCGATGATTTCTGGGTCCATTGGTACCCAAAGATTTGGGTCACAAAAAATGACACACAACCGCGGTGTCGACAGGATCATTGCCAACCTGCAGAAGGCTGGTATGATTCAGGGCTGTATGGCGATCATCGTCGGTGCAGACAAGCCCGGTGCTGAGCGAAATTTTGCTCCACCAGCTGCTCCTGAGCGCATTTAAACTATAATTGTCCTTTCAAAGAATGTGTGTCCCAGAAAAACCTCCAGTGATAGGGGATTTTCCATTGCCAGGGTTGATTCTCGGAGGATAAACGAATTGAAACTATCAGGGGCAGGATGAACTGTATGAAGTGGGGACCTTGGTTCAGTTGATTCAGGTTCACCATGCGTATTGTATTTAGCGTTGGGAGTTGACATGCCAGACATGCATTAAAACAATTCGACAGGATGACAGTTGCAATGTTTGAGGTCACAGGCGGAATCGATCAAGAAGGAGCTGAGTAGCTTCAAGATTCCTTCTCAGTCTTTGCCTCAGTGACAATATTTTGCCCTCTCCCATTTGGTGCTTGTTATGCCATCATGGTACACGACAGTATGAATCCAGCTGTGTGCGGCCTGGTTCAGGACCGTGACATTCCCAACAGATGCAGACGCTGCTGGGAAGCTTGTGGCAGCTCCAGCACATTATCCTGCAGATGCGGACATTGATATTCATGAGATCTGCAAAAGCATAAAGTCGGGTTTGATCCTGGGTAGACAATGGTAGTATTTAGTACAGTAGATGCGATATTTTGGACAAGCAGTACACATATATAATATATTATAATATATATATATTATATACACACATGGATTATATATGATATAGTTGAACAGACAATTGACATTTGCGAAGAAGCACAACTTGTTTGCAGCACAGTGAGCTGTTTTCGCGCGGTTGAAATTCGCCAGGCGGAATACAACAAGTCCACTGAGCCCTTGCTTATCATTCAGTGCAGTGAAGCAGCGCTAGAAAGCCCAACATCTTGTTGGGCTGCACCAGAACACATTCGACATATTTCGACATCAGATGTGTCAGAATGCCTCAAGCATTCATACTGTACTGGTTTTGGTTTGTCTTTTGTATAGAAATTTTGGCTAGTAGTATACCACATTGTACCACTTTTGCCATCACCCACTAAATCTCAGACTACTTGGCATGTCGTTGAGGTCTGCTGCATTGTCTTCTAGCTTGTTCGGAGCTTTGTGATCTTTGTGAGGATTCTATCTTGCCCAGCATGTCTCGGCTCTATGCTTTTTTATACTTAGGGAATCTCTCAACAAAGTGCTTCGTATTAGTTGAATTCCCAAATTGCAGGTTGACCCCAAAGCGCTTTCGAAGTCCGACCATTTTGCATTTGGAGAATGGTTTTCAAACAGAAAAGATCAATGCAGGTTTCCTGTGCTTTCTTGCACTTCGAATGGCATGCCGCTTGCTCAGTTTGCGCTTCTGGGATTCACAAGATCACGTGCAATCGTGCAGCACTGTGGAAGTTCTGCACCAAGGAAGTCAGCCTCTAGTTGGGGCCCCACGTCGTACATGCTGTTCAGTGCGAAAGCAACGGTAAAGGTATAGAGCAGTTGGAGTAACAAGCCGTCAGCCATGTGCAGTCACGATGGCATTGTCCGGAAGTGGGAACTGTCTAACTGACAGATAGCTAGGCCTGGATCTGAACAGCACGTGATCGGGATTGATCTGGTATGAATCAGTCCTACTTTGTCATCTGGCTCTGAGGCTTGATTTGCACGCCTGAAAATGTTGGCAGACTCGCTGCGCAGATCTTTGCGCACAGCTCCAAGGACGTTCGGAAGCTGCTGGAGGCGGGCCGATGGTCATCGATGGTCCATGTTTCGGAGAAATCCATGGGACTTGGGGGATGTATTTTGGGCAGCTTGAAAATACAGCCAATTGGATCCACTGGGGTGAATGGATCCAGACAAAAATAGTTAAATCATGTTAAATCATGTTAAATCGAACATGTCAAGTTGAAGGAAAGTAGTAGTTTAGTGAAGAGTCAAATGGAAGGTCACAGAAAAACATACGCGGGGTGGTGTCATGACCGATAGCATGAGTCAAACTGAAAACTCCCCGAATCGGGTAGATGAACAGCATGAACCGCACGATGCCCAGCACTGCTTTGCAAGGCGAACATCGAAGAACAGTCTGCACCTCAGGTGTTGCCCAGAGAGAGGGTCAGCTATGGGTAGGCCATGCATAAGCTACGGTAGCCAATCAAGCATGGCACAGCATGTCTCTTTCCCAAAGCCTGCGCTGAAATCCACTGCACTGGGACTGTACGACTGGAAGCCAAACATGTCGAGTAATTAATTACAAAGGTTGAGGTCTATGCCACCTCTATTGCTTCACCATGCTTCACCGTATCTTCGCCCCATCTTCACCCATGTTAACCTCACTTTTTACCACACCACCGCATCTTCATTTCAGAGATGTTCAGGCAGAGAAAGAAAGCCCGAACCGCGTGAACGTGAAGGCGGAGGTTGGTGAGCAACTGTTCAAGATCAGGGGATATCAATGGTCAGTGGTCAACTGTGATCCATCAGAGATCCTGTCGTTTTGCAACGGAGACCTGTGAATTCTGGTGGCATTTCCAGCGTTCTGGAGGCCATCACGTTGCCCTTTGAAGCAAAATGCAAAGATATGCAAAGTGAGAAATTGGTTTCAACTTCTGTCCATAGATGCTTTGTTTGGAGAGCAAAGCGCTTAAGAGTCTCCCAGTTTCACAAGATTTTGACGCATGCTATGGCGTGCTTCGCTCGTCATGTAGTGGTCGAGACTGGGATTTCTTACTCTGGAACTTCTGCCAATTGAATCCAATTCATCAGATTTATGATTGGTGGGTCTTATATGTGTGAATTTTTGGACGAAAAACCCTGCAGAAATTCATGTTGAAACGGGGCTTGGCAGAAAGGCCTATCTCTTGTCGTCCGGCGCAAATAGGGCACCCAGGCCCTCGCGCCGATGTGGTTTCTGCAATCCTCAGAGTCCGAAGCATGGTTCCTTTCCATGGATAGGAATCCATTTCCCATAGTGTATTATTATGAAAGATGATGAAATATCATAAACTATGTCATAAAAATATCATGAAACATCATCAAACATCATCGAGCATCATGACACATCATCAAACATCATCGAACATCATGAAACATCATGAAATCTCATGAAAGATCATGAAATCTCATGAAATATCAATAAATATTAAGAAATGTCATGAAATATCAATAAATATCAAGAAATGTCATGAAATATCATGAAATCTCATGAAATATCAATAAATATCAAGAAATGTAATGAAATATCATGAAATCTCATGAAATATCAATAAATATCAAGAAATGTCATGAAATATCATGAAATATCATGAAATATCAATAAATATCAAGAAATGTCATGAAATATCATAAAATATCATGAAATATCAATAAATATCAAGAAATGTCATGAAATATCATGAAATATCAATAAATATCAAGAAACGTCATGAAATATCATGAAATATCAATAAATATCAAGAAATGTCATGAAATAGCATGAAATATCATGAAATATCAATAAATATCAAGAAATATCAAGAAATGTCATGAAATATCAAGAAATGTCATGAAATATAATGAAATCTCATGAAATATCAAGAAATGTCATGAAATATCAATAAATATTAAAAAATGTCATGAAATCTCATGAAATCTCATGAAATATCTATAAATATCAAGAAATGTCATGAAATATCATGAAATATCAATAAATATCAAGAAATGTCATGAAATATCATGAAATCTCATGAAATATCAATAAATATTAAGAAATGTCATGAAATCTCATGAAATATCAATAAATATCAAGAAATGTCATGAAATATTAAGAAATGTCATGAAATATCAATAAATATCAAGAAATGTCATGAAATATCATGAAATCTCATGAAATATCAATAAATATCAAGAAATGTAATGAAATATCATGAAATCTCATGAAATATCAATAAATATCAAGAAATGTCATGAAATATCATGAAATGTCATGAAATCTCAATAAATATCAAGAAATGTCATGAAATATCATGAAATATCATGAAATATCAATAAATATCAAGAAATGTCATGAAATATCATGAAATATCAATAAATATCAAGAAATGTCATGAAATATCAATAAATATTAAAAAATGTCATGAAATCTCATGAAATCTCATGAAATATCTATAAATATCAAGAAATGTCATGAAATATCATGAAATATCAATAAATATCAAGAAATGTCATGAAATATCATGAAATCTCATGAAATATCATGAAATATCAATAAATATCAAGAAATGTCATGAAATGTCATGAAATATCATGAAATATCAATAAATATCAAGAAATGTCATGAAATATCATGAAATATCATGAAATCATGTGAACATGTTTAAGGGTTTTGGTAGAGTTGGATCATCCCTTTCCCCATTCGATAGTTTGCCCAAAGGTTGAGCACCTTTGCCGCCATAGTTTTCCAGGCGCTAAGATATGTATCTCAAACGGGTTTTAGGCACTGCTACACTTCCATTTGTCAGCAGGTGGCCAAGGCTGGGGAGAAACCTCATTTGTTATCTTCGCAATGCAATTGAAGATGCGTTTAGCACCATCAATGAGTTTGCGCGGGAGCAAAACAGACCTCATTGTCGGTGCGCTCTTCACGCAATGACAGAAAGGTAGATAGTGCCAAAAAAATGTCAAATTGCCAGTAATTGCCACAATACCAGGTAGAGATATGCAGAAAATTTTTACTCTATGGATATCCCCAGCTCATGGTACTTGAGACTGTTCTGGGATGTTCTGGGCTATTTCGCCATGATGTGACTTTGAAAGACACTGGGCCGCTATTGCAAGACTCTGGTATTCATCATATTAATCTAGCTATGGCTATGTCCCGATTAAATCCCTATGACATCCTCATTATACCCCATGGCATTGCATTATGATAATAATTATGTCATATTATATCCCCATGATCTCAAGCTGACTCGAGCTGTCAACATATTTCCTCTCAGCCCTTCGCCAGAAGCTCGTCCCGGTTCAACGTCTACGCCTGCCAAGTCGATCCTCGACAGAAGATGGCTGGGCTTGTGAGAGATGGGGGATGCAGCAAGGTGTTGGCGATCCAAAATTGGCAAAAAATGGGGTAAACCATGTAAACGATGATTAACCGCGATGTAAATGCTGGTGCCCATGGGTCCCCTATTTTTGGACAAGCCGGGAATCTGACATTCTGACCCTTCTTTCCGGGCTCAACCATGTCCTCTTTTTGGCGTCAACCAGCACTTGTGGAAACGCTGCAAGTCTCTCGACATGTTTGGTTTGACAGCAGCTTCAGAGCAGGCCTTCCAGAAATAGATTTAATCGGGCGGGAGTTGAGGGATCGATTGATATGTATGTTTGCAGATTTGAAGACATGTGCTGTCTTTGACAACTGCAAGAGTGACTGAGGCGCCCAAAGTTGGACACCACCTTCTGTCTTACGAGGCGTGAGGTTGTGGATTCGCGTTCACGAATCTATGCCACTTCCGAAGAAAAGAAGTCAAGGGTTTGTCGGCTAGAGGAGTCGTCAGAGACAGCATTGTTTGCGGGAGTGCTTTTGAAGTTGTTCATCACTCTAGAGTAGGTCATGCTGTCTCGTCGCCATTTTTCCCGCGGGATTGGTTGCGCGTGATCTTTACCCATGACAGGTGCAAGCCAATTTGGCTGCCAATCAAGGCACACCGCTTTGCTGCATACCGAGCGAAGGCCGCAGCTTTCAGAAACTTGGTGAGTTTGCGTGGTGAAAGTATGGAAGTCAAGATGTCTCAAGGATTCTCAAGGTATTGTTATGGATTCTCGCGCAGGTCCTGCAGCTGCTTCCTCAACGGGTTCTGCAGCAGTACATCGACTTCGAGAAGCAGGGCCAGTGCGACATCAGGGAGTGGATCTAGCAGATCCAGTGTAGAGTTTCCCAAGGTACCTATGGCAACGTGTAGGCAACCCGATGAGGTGCCAGAGCCATAAATTTGTCATATTTGAGCTATATGTTCACATATTTGGACTATAAATGACATTAAATGACTATATTTGGCATGTCACCATCTGGTTTTTCCTCGTATAGTTTTGAATTATTCCCAAATTTTCGATCACTGATCAAGTGATGACTGCCCGGAGTTCCCAAGACCCCATGTCACCATGTTCTGGTGGAGGTACTCTGCCTGCATCAAGCTCTTGGAGTCTGCTACTCCAGGGACATCCGGGATGGAAATGGATGGATATGGACTGTGTGAGCAGATCACTGATCGGGGTTAGAGAATGTTGGACATTCAGAGTGTTGGACATTCAGAGTCCTTTTGCAGCTCCCTGAATCACCTGAATGCAAGAAACAGAAATTCTCGTAAGACTACGTGGATGAATAGGTTTTCTCCTGTCCATAGCTGGGTCCATCGTCCAATTCGTAGCAAGGTGTCCTTAAGCTGTGGGGCTTGGCAAGTTTTGATGTTTTTTAATCGGTACGGTAGGCTAAGTATGCTTTATATTATTATTATTATTGTTATTATTATTATCATTATCATTATTATTATTGTTATTATTATTAATTATTATTATTATTATATACGTATATATATAATGTAATATCTATTATATTATATTGTATTATATTATATTATATTATAATATATTATAATATAATATATTATATTATATTGTATTACATTATATTACATTATATTATATTATGATATAATATATTATATTATATTGTATTATATTATAATATATATATATTAATATATTATATTATAATATATTATATTATAATATATTGTATCATAATATATTGTATCATAATATATTATATTGTATGATAATATATTATATTAGTTTAGTTTAGTTTATTATAATATTTTATATTATAATATATTATATTATAATATATTATATTATAATATATTATATTAATTATATTAATTATATTAACTATATTAATTATATTTATTGTATTATTTATATTAATTATATTAATTATACTAATTGTATTATTTATATTAATTATATTAATTATATTATTTATATTAATTATATTAATTATATTAATTATATTACTTATATTACTTATATTAATTGTATTATTTATTTTAATTATATTAATTATATTAACTATATTATATGTTATATATTATATATTATATTATGTATTATGTATTATGTATTATATATTATATATTATATATTAATTATATTATATATATATATGTGATAGTGGAGTCAGATTCTTGGCCCATTGGCAGGAGCCTCAATGTGTTGAGCCCGGCCAGTATGGTCAGTGGGAAGCCCTTGCTGGTGGAGACGGTGCGACCATCCCAGAAACTGGAGCAGCAAACCGACATCTTTTGACCATATCCATGTGGATGTCTATGATGTCTTAGGTTGGATATGGTTGGATCTTGAATGCTTTCCAGTTGATCACAGGTCCTTCAGCTCATTGTGGGCTACAGTGGTTTGTGCTTAAAGAACCAGCAGGGCGCCATTGCGGTGAAGCTCATCACGCAGGCGCAGTGACGGCGTCGCAGTTGCGGTGGCATCCCCCGAGTCGATGAGTTCGGTGCCATGCGGTGCCCAGGTGTTGGACAACATGTCGCTCTCATTGCGCGACTTACACCCAGGACATCGCACCGTTCTTGAGGCGCCTCCAACCATAAGTGGAACCGGAGTATGGTGTGAGAAATTTGCCAACCAAGAAATTAAAGGCTGTTCCTTTTCCTTCCTGAGGCGTATTTGTTTGCCAGTTCCTCAGTCCCTGAATTGTGACTGCAACTTCAATGCTGTGATACCTTCTCACGCACGTGCACGATGAAAAAGACTTGATACGTTTCACCATCATATTCCTGTGGCTTTCGAATCTGTAGAGTTTTTCCACGGGAAATGAAACCTTTGATCATTCATTCTGATTCCTTTGCATGAAATGTTTGACCATTGTGTAGGCGACGTTTGCATGGAAATACGTGTGCTCAAGTGTGAATAGCTTTGACCTAGGACACAGCGCTGAGTGTTTGCTACTACATGCCCAACGATGTGACTCTCGCAGACCGATCTCAGTCCTTTTTTCAGCAGGCAGGGAGATGCTTCAACATGCTGCAACAATCTGAGACGAGCGTAGTCAAGCCAACTTTACTTGACCCTATAGTGGCTGGCGATTTCAAAATATTTCAAATATCCGTTACCGTTACTTTGCTTGTTTGAGAAGATTCCATGGTTTAAACTCTAGTTTACATGCAGTTGTGTGTCTAAACATGGCCCCAACACCCTTCCTTTTCCAAAGCCATTCACCGTTCAAAACTGTCAGGCCTCAGAGCGTTACTTGCGACTGGGGCACATCAATCGATACTGCAAGCAACTGGGGCCGCACTTGATAAAATTGACAGAATGAGAAGAAGCTGACACTTTGTGCAGATACCATGTTCAGACATATTATATATATACATACTCATATATATATATATATCATGATGATATGCATACATATATAATGAAATATAGAGTTATGTGTATATATAATATACATAATATTATTATTATTATTATTGTTATTATTATTATTATTATATATATATTGATATGATGTTATATTCTATGCATGATATTACAGACTGTACATACATGATATTACATCATACTGAGGGGAAAGACCTACGAGCGTTTTGGCCTATGAAGCAGCACTCCAGATTTCTACATGACTTCGCCCTGAGGTGTTGCTTACGAGCTGCTGCAGTCTTACATCTGCAGGGTAGCAAATCGGAAGCAGAGTACTACACGCAACAGGCGGGCTGTGCAAAAATGGCAGCGGCCAAGTCTCATTGAGTAAGTCGTTTCATGAATTGGGCGTGTTTGAAAATGAAAGTATACCCACAAAAATGATATAAATTGCACTTTTTCATAGGAATGATGATGATTGGCAATTTAGATATAGAAGTCCCTGCCAATTTTCAGACAAACTCACTTGGAGTAGCATGGACCTTGTGATGTGGTGAGGCTTTGAACAAGTTGAGCGATGCGCCGGTCTCCTCTTTGCTGGCCATTTGCTATCACAACTTAGCAGTGATTTGGCGGCATGCACCTGGAAGAGCTGATGAAAAGATCAATGGCTCGGCACCAATTTGGACATACCAAAGTGGAGTTTTCAGGTCCTTTTGGTGATTTTGACTGTGGTGAAATTTCCCCACTAAAGGAGAAGAACTCTGCCGGCCATTGATCCTGAGTTTCAAGTTCCCGCGATGTCAAAGTGTCGCAACATTTGATCCTTTGCAGAAAGCCGAAGATGAGAACACGCTGGCTTCGTTTCATGTTTTAGGAAGCACCACTTCACGCAATAAAAGGACACATACTGTAAAATGGCAAATAGCAAATGAAGTAAAATCAAAGCCTGAAAGCCACTGGCATTCCGAGGTTCACACTGTGGTCCAGCACCGGATTGCAGACGCCGTAGCACACGTCAGGTGCTATTGGCCGTCATGATGCCACAGATGCTGACCAAATGATCAACAGAATGACATGTACTCGCTGTTTGTATGTGCATGTATACAACTGTACCAAGTACATTAATGTATATATATATATATCTATCCACATTATGTGTATATATAATTATATATATATACATATGTATTGTCATGAGATACATTTATGCAGGATGCTGCATGGTATCATCCTTCGGCAGGTCCTACGTTGCCTTACTGCGGCAGCTCCCAAAGCTGGGAAACTCTTGGATGCAGTTGCTGGAGATTTGGAACCGGCACTGGAAGTTGTTTTGGAGGTATCACGGTACATGCCTGGTATATCTGGTATGTTTGATTGTGTTTGATTGTTACCAAATGTTACCAATATGAACCACCTATTTTTCTATTTCTGATACAACGATATGAACGTCGTATTCATCGTATTGGTATTTCTCCGAATTGGCCGTCAAGCTTTCTGGATTCACAATCGGATTGTCAAGCTCCATCAAAGTCCACCACCATTGGATGAGCCAGATTCAGAGGGCTGCCTCAAGAGATGAGTCAAAAGCCTGGTACCTAGTGAACCCCAAAATAGCTGGGATTTATGGATGTTCATCCCACTAAAATGTATCTATAGGTATTGACCCATACCCACATGTTTGGCTTTGGGGCCAAAAAATGTGAACTTCCCTCCCCACCCGAAGGACAACACCCAGTGGCTGATTCTAAAAGCACAAGAGCTTTGGCCACAGCATCAACAACAGGTGGGCAACGTTGAGTTGAGTCCAACGGGGAAGGGAGAGGGAAGGGTTGGGCACTTCAAAACCACAGAAGCCAGACAGCCAAGTGCTATTTCTGATCTGGAGACCCCAATGCGGAAGTTGCCAGGAAGTGTGTGAAGATTAAATGTGCCTTCATGCCATGAGAGAAGAGACCAGATGAAGTCAGGCTACCAGAGACGTTATCAAGCTATAGGACGGGGCCAAAAGATCAGGAGTCATACCTGGAAACAACTACTAGAGGCCACTTCACACACTGGCAATCTCCTTCCTGGTGTGTGTGCGTGCGTGTGTCCATTAAACATTGGTTGTACGGGAAGCAGGCTGACGCAGGAACGAGGTTGTTTGTCTTGAAGGTTCCAGAATGTTCCAGAGACTTGCGCGCAAAAACTGACCCTCTGCAGAGTTTGTTTTATTACAGGGTGGGATCTTAGTGATCATCCCATGTTGGTCCTGTGAAGGCTTCATTTAGGGCCTTTAGGGCTTTACCTAGTTACATCAAATGATCGCAATCTAGGAACACAGCCCGATCCTCTCAGCTGAGACATTCCAATGGGTTGAAATCGATCTGCTTCTGGCCTCAGCATGGAATCCGGGACAGCCAGCTGGTGAACATGCATTGATTGGCTGGATGCCTCAGTTGTCAGGTTGTAGGTTCTGTTACATGACGCCCACGACCTGAACCTTGAGCAGTTGCAAACCTTAAACCCAATCTGAAATCAACTTGAGAGTTAGTGTCACATGTTTTTGGAAGACAAAGAACATGGCATGACTTAAAACGTCTGGTGTCTCATTGTTGTAGACACTTCCAAGGTGTCAAGAAGTGACGGCATCCATCTTCCAGCTGTTTCATCGAAGTGGTTGCCTGCAAGTTTAGGTTTGTATGGTTGATTTGGGAAAGGAAACTCGCTGGAATGTGTTTGTCTATCAGATCGAAGCAAGGAACTTGCAACGATTGTTTCCCCAAAGACTATATATAATTGTATATAATTTTACCTTTGACATGATGAAGCAGAAGACAGTTCAAATGCAAAGACGATACAGTTTCACCAGAACCTTTTGAATTCTCAATATCATTTGCAGGACTCAAAAAGGAAAGCGCGCGGAATTTGATGCTCCTGCGTTTTCGTTTCTTCACTTGCAGACGTACAGTATTCGACGCATGTTCCCAATTCTTTCCCAAAGATTCTGGGGTCCAGGGTCCGATTTTGCCCAATGTGATTTTGCATCATCATGTTTGTTGCAAACCTGTCCAGTTTGCATACTTATTCTGTCCTGTACCTTTTTCTTTTCGAATAACTGACAGTTTTGAAGATATACATGCCATTCATTTATTGTAATTTGTCCTTGAAAAATTAACAGATAGATTTTGTTGTATTTGGCTATGATTTCTTTGTTTCCGTCTTTATTTACTTAAGACTTAAAATGGACGAGTCATGATTGGCACCGGCAAGGGAAATTGCAAACAGGATCACAAGCTGACGTACTTGTTTGCCGTCTCGCTTTCAATACAGTTGTTTACGCACAACATCTCACAACACAACATAGCCATCCTACTTCAATAATTACTACATAAAATATATTAAGATACATTGAACTAGGGTCATGATTATGATGTAATGATTAATTAGTAAACAAATCTAAAGAATGTGAAAACGATTTCTGAGATGAAATTTATCAAAAAATATGAAAGCGAATATGAACACCATTCTTTAATTCTATTTGCAGTGTTGCTTCGTGGACTTGTTTATTGCACCTTCACCTGGAATCCGTTGCTGAAGGATTTTTGGTTCCAAATCAGGATATTATGGAAATCATCACCTGCAAATCTCCTGTTCCTCAGTTTGCTAAGAAACAGCTTAGAAACAGGAAAAATCTGAAGCAAACAAGTTGAACTGAGAGAGCATTTTGGTTCAGAAAAGTTCTTGACTTGTAGCTCTGACATGGCTAAATTCTTTGCACAAATCGTCTGTTCAGAGCGGAGAGACATGCGTCACCTGTTATGGCTCAGAAATGAAATGGACACAAGGACAAATTCTTCGATTTTTTTTCACATATTTGCAAGTCTTGTTTGAGCAACAAAGTACAAGCCGCTTAAATAAAAAATTAATTCTATGAAATTATATCTTGATATCCTAATAACAAAATAAAAAAATAATTATTATTAATAAATATATTTATTATTAAAATTATATTATGCTTTTAATATTGAAATTATATTTATTTGATATTGAAAAAAATAATATAAATATTATTATTTAAATTTAATAATATGAAAAATTAATAATAGTATTTTATATTTTTTATATATTAATGATTATAATTAATATATTTTAATAAATTATTGAGGAAAAATTATATGTATTTTGTGAAAAATATTAATTTTAATTAGTTTAATTATTTATTGTATTAATTAATTTATTTTTTTATGATATAAATATCCGAAAAATTATTAATATTTGAAAATAATAGGGAATTGTTTTGATTTTTGTTTGC